GCGGGGGGGGGGGGGGGGGGGGGGTGGTCCTGGCTTATATTTACACAGAGAAATAACCAGAGGTGGATAGTTCAGGTCCAAAAAGTAAAAATCCAGGCCAAGATTTTATTTCAACAAACCAGTTGAGTACTCTATGACTATGACTCTGACTCTTTATTTAGAATTCAGTTATGATTGTTGACGCACCACAGCACACAACAATGAAATGTGTCCTCTGCATTTAACCCATATGTGACATCGTAGGTGGTGGCTAATTCAGCGCCGAGGGAGCAGTGCTTGGGGGTGGTCCGCTGCTCAGGGTGCCTCAGTGGTGCCTTGCAGGTCAGGGATTCAAACCTACGATCTATCAATTACAAGTGCGCTTCCCTAACCATTAAGACACCACTGCCTACATACTGCCCCACATTGAGATAAGAGATTTAAACCACATATACTCAGCTTGCTGGTTGAACCAAAGTCTTGGTCTGGATTTTTACTTTCTGGACCTGAACTATCCACCCCTAGAAATAACTGCAGTATTTATTATTTAAATTAAGGCGCTGATTGGTTTATGTAACTGTAGCCATGCTGGTAATTCATAAAGGAATGTGCATTATGACTGCGAACATGAATTGGAGGAGATAAGGACGCAACCAAGTGTCCGGCCAAGAGTCAGAGTGCCTGCCTGCATATGCAGTTATGGGGTGTTTTATAATAAACCTGTCACGGGGTCCCCACCTGCCCCCCACCATAAGTCCTTACTAAATGAAGGAATGTGTCCTTGGGTTTTAGATGGAAAAGCGAGTGGGGGCGACAGCAAGCTCCCCACCCTTACCACCAAGGACACCACCAGCCCGATCGGCTCAACTCAATTGTCTGCAAACACCTCCGACTTCCAGAAGGAGGCGCTGGAGGCCCACAATGCTCGGCGGCAACAACACGGAGCACCCCCACTCAGCCTGGACCTGGACCTGTGCCGGGAGACGCAAAAGTGGGCCGAACACCTGGTACAGCTTAACATTTTGGAGCATAGCGACACTGACCTGGGCGAGAACATCTTTTCTGTGTGGTCATCTGATAACATCCCACCGTCAGGTGAGATGGGCT